GATAAAATCTAAAACTTTTGCCTTTTAAACTCTAGAAGACAAAATTTTAAATATAGGAACGTATCTATCATAAACAATATGATAGAGCTCATTGAGCTCATTTATAAATGTAAGATTGAAAAAACTGTAAGAGAGAAACTGAAGCTGTTTTGGTCACTAGAACATAATTTTAATTACAACAGTTTAAGTGAATGTCTTACCTTTCTTGTCTTGATTAGCATAAAGCACAATAGTAATTACATAAATCACTAAACCTGTCTGATTCAGCTAGTTGAGAGTGTTTATTGCAATAATAAAGTCAATATACATATATCAATCATCAAGAATTGTTGAAATTATAATAAGATTATATGCTCACTTATCCTGTTATTTAATCACATATTTAAAATTATGTAGATAGCACTAATGAGAAATGGAGAAGAGCCAGCTGTCTCATGCAGATTAGCTATATACTAGCAAGTAAAATACCAGTGTCCAAACAGAAATGAGTGTTGTAAAGCTTAAGCCGACTTCATAAAGTTGGAGACAGAATCAGTTTCAATGTGAGGGTATCGATCTGGGCAGGAAGTTTACTACAGTTGAAGACAAGGGTTGGAGTTTTGGTTTAGAAAATGCTTTTCATTTTAGGTCCACATGTAAAAATTCCGTTTATATGAAAAAACAAGGGGTAACTGAGGGAGTAGTTAAACTGGAATCAGAGTCCATGTGGCGATAAAGCCTGGATGGAACTAAGACTAAGGTAATAAGACCCAGGAAATGAGTATGTAGGACAGAACAAGGACCCTGGGAGGAGAAGCAACAGATGTGGTTTTTATGAGACATATCTGGACCATAGAACTCATGTGATGAACACACCAGTGGTGTCCCAGTTCTAAAAGCTTGATACCCCACACTAGGAAAGCAATCTCAATCTTAGACCATCTGATGGAACTGAAATCGTTTTAATGTAAACTGTACTCTATTTCTTGTAGTAGTGCTAAACATCCTTCTAAGAGAATTTAGCAGAAATGTGTTGTTCTCTTAGTTATCTCAGGAGTTTTCAGGACCACTGATCATTGTTTCATACTGACTGCTAGAAAATAAAAGGAGTGAAGGGACAAAAATAATGGGTAATTAAAAATGAAAAACTAAATATATTTAAATCAAAAGAAAAACAATTAGGCTCTACAAAGTAAAAATATTTAAAAACTAAAAATATTTCCAGATCATTCTTATGTTAATAAAATCGTAAACACTTTATGAATAATACATAGCTTTTTAAATAGTTTTCATACCACAGATTTGGTCTCAATAACTACTACTCGATGTCTGAAGTTTTCTAAACTTCATCTTTTTGTCAATAAATTCTGCATATACAAATGCCATTAGTGTCTCCATGGTAGCTAATAAATGTTAATGTTGGCTCACAACCTCAGATGTTTCAGAGTGAAATTCAAAACTGGCCCCCCAATATATGGAAGGCAAGAAAAAACCACAGAAAGAGGCAGACCACTCCAGATGGACAGGTGCAAGGTTTAATAAGCAAGGGAAGTTACATGCAAGGCTTCTCCTGGACACTGCAAGATGAGTTGATTTCTATACCAGTCCACCAGAATCTTAAAAGTTTTAGAGAGGATCGAATGGGGTGCAGTCACTTATCCAGTCCTGATGATCTCAAAAAGCCATTGTTCTCTTAAGGCTGTGTCCTTGAAAAGGATCCTTGTGTGGGAATGGCGGGCTGAGCGTACAACCCAATGACAGGGGAAGGGGTGACAAGCCTGGTATTACCAGGGATTGCCAGATGGCAGGTCAACTGTTGGTCACATCCTCTTGATGACCTTCTCCAAGAGAATCACATTTTAAATATAAAGACACAACTATTTTAAAAGTAAAAAGATAGCATGAGATACCATGCTAACATGAGTGGCCAGCCATATCAGTGTCAGAAGAAGTAGATTTCATTTTAAAGAATATTATTAAGGATAAAGAAGATCATTTCAAAATGATAAAGTGGTCAATTTGTGAGGAGTACATAATTCTAAACATTATGCACTGAAAACAGAACTTCTAAACACATGAAATAAAAACTGACAGAACTGCAAAGAGAAATATAAACATCCACAATTATAGTTGGAGATTTCAACACCCCTCTCTCAATAATTGATACAATACCATCTTAGTTAGTTCAGGTTGCTATGACAAATTACCATAGGCTGTGTGACTTATCAAAAACACAAATTTATTTCTCACAGTCCTGGAGTCTGAAATGCCAAGATCAGGGTGCCGGCAAGGTCCTTCTGAGAAAGGTCTTCTTCTGAATTGCAGAAGGCTGGCTTACATTGTATTCTCACAGGTCACTAATCTCATTCATGAGGGTGCCACCCTCATGACTTAATCACCTTCCAAAGGTACCTCCTCCTAATAACATCACATTGGGAGCTAGGATTTGAATTTGGGGGGGATACAAACATTCAGTCCATAGCAAATAGAGAAACTAGACTTTTATACAAATTGTGAAACAAGAGTTATAATTGTGCATTGATTTTAAAAATGATGCTGTGTTTCACAATAATACATATGAAATTCTCTGTTTTCTGGCACTTACCAATAATTTTTGGTATATGACTTTAATCTAGATGTCTTGTTTTATGGGGAATGCATGTCTCTGTTTCACAAATAACTGTTAAGAATGAGCAAATTACTTTATATGTTTAAATTACCAGTTCATCTGAGAAAGTTATATAAGAGGTACACTAGATTGTATGTGTAACAAAATACAAAGCATTCACTTCACAAACTTTTCCATAAGGTGAAGCTAATAATTTATGTCCTGAAACTTGACAAAAACTTTAATTCAGGATGAAGAAGTAACTGCATTCTTTGGGGTTTCTAGTAAGACAACCTTCTTTTATTACTGTGTACCTCTTGGGGTTGTGGAAGCAGGATAATGCATGCTTCTGTGCTAGCAGAAGAATTACTATGTCAGAATCTGATGCCTCCATGTAAACAGAATGCTCGCCAATGGCTAACCAGCATTTATATTTCACTTTAAAGAGAAAAATTACCTCTGGGAACTGAACCAATATTGACATTCTTAGTAATATATTGCCTTGATGCTTGGATAGTATAATCGTTTTTTAAACCTTATCAGAATCACTTGTGTATTTGAAGCCACTATGACGACTACATGAGCAGAATGTGATGGGAATAGCTAGAATACATACATGATGTTTTTTATGATTTACGGGCTTTTTCTTTGTATAGTTTTCTTTCAGTTTCTTCTAATAACTATAAACTGATAATGTAGACACTTAGATATATGCTAGATAGAAACATGTATTAAATATATCACCTATATTTGAGAAATATAAGCACTTTAACAATACGAAGTCCGAACTCTGCTGCTGAATGAATTCACATTAGTATTTAATAGGCACGTTTTGTTTGATGTCTGTAGAGTTTTTAAGTGCTGGTTACTGGAGCTAACTTTTGGAAAGGCAAATCTGAGCAAAGTTCTTCTTCCATACATATTTTACAATATAGAGAGAAATAAAATGGTTTCACATATTATGCAACACAGTAAACATAGAAATGGGTAATAGTCCTCATCGCCTAGTTCTATTTTTTGGTGCCAATGTATAAAATGCCAAGAAAATAATTAGGTGCTGAGTTATTTATATTACTTTTAATTCATAGACATTCTTACTTGTCTACATTACTCTTAGTGCTATTGTTGAATTGCTTTGATAAATTCGATGACTTTGTAAATTATATTTATAAGAAGTAAATCTGACTTCGGACTCCAATCTTGTCAGATTATGTATGGAAAACATCTCCATATAGTCTCATTGTAATTATAAGGTAAATTAACTCATTTAACTGACCATATCTTAAAATACACAAAATATATTTTAAATCACAGAAAAAGTATGAACTATAAATGACAATTAAAACAGTATCTCAAAATCATTATTTAATTCATTCCGGAACATGCAGTGGTATAATGTTACTGAAGTATGAAATTTACGGTCCATGAAGAGAACTCTAGCTTCTCTGTTTTTCATTTGTGCACGTATCATGATTTATTCAGCTATCCAGTAATTAATATGGTTATAAACTAATTATAAACAGTTATTTAGTATGTGTTATATATATATATAAAGCCCTCTACTATTACATACTATTATGTGTGTGTGCATGTATATCACATTAACCCCAGAATTATCTATATAGCATGTAGCCCTCATGGCAAAATGTGGACAGGCAAACATGTTTACAGAGCCAACCAAGAACAAAATTTGGGGGTTGGGGGAGGGGAAGCTTTCTATTTTGTCATGAAAATTCCAACAGAGAGCAGTTCCCTAGAAAAAGGCTTGTCCTTGCCCATGTTCATCTTGTCCCATGCTGAAGTTCATATACTGGAGCGGATTTCAGAAGAATCTTAGAAGCTTTCGAATATTAGAGCGTGAAGAACTGTTATGGCCTCTGTATCTTTAAAAAGGGTCACTCATCTGCCATAGTCCCCGCGATGGCCTTTGTTCTGGTCGGGCTGCCCAACGGGGACACCCGCTCCAGGTCACAGCTCCCGGGCCCTTGAGCAGATGACTCACGTCCAGGCCACCCTCTTCCCCTCCTCCTCCCTCGCTTCTTGCAGAAGTCGGGTCGGAAAAGTTTGAAGAGTCAGCTCCATTCTTAGATTCGCAGCAAAGCGAGAGGCGGGAGAGCCCGAAGGGGAGGATCGAAGGAGCTGGAATTGGAGAGAGAGGCGCGGTCTAGACAACGCGTGAGTGTGGGAAGGAGGGAGGCAGGGGACCTGGAGGGGCCACCCGGGCGGGAGTGAAGAGAGGCGAGCTTCGCATCCTGGCGGAGGCAGGCAAGTGAGACGCAGAGCTGCAGAAGGCAGCGGGTGGAACGGCGCCCCTGGGAGCTGGAGGAGTTCACCCCCGTGGCCGGCAGGGCGCGCGGGGAGGGGCGAGTGTGTCCGCAGACGCTGCGCTCCGATCGACGAGTGAGCACAGCCCACCCGGTGGGGAGCGGAGTCACCAGTCTCGCGCTGCCCGGGCTGCGCTCGCTGCGCCCGCTCCGAGCGCGCAGCAGCCCCGGGCGCGGTGGACCCGCCACCCAGCGCCCCGGCGCATCCGCAGCCCCTCTCGGGACGCAGCCGGAACCGATTCCCGGGAACGCTAGGCCGGCGGCACCCAGCTCCCACGGACCCTTCTCCAGCAGGTAGGGGCCGAGGGGGGCGCCGTGCATGGTCTCCCACGCGGGGCAGTTGACCGAGCAGCCTTGCCTCCAGGTCTGGAGGAGGTCGGCGGGGCTCAATGCTCTCCTATCCCGTGGCGATTGCGACTCGGGGAGGGTGCGATGCTCGCACCTGCGTCGCGGGGTACCTAGCTTGAGTCCCAGCGTGGAGAGGGGGCGTGGAGAAGAGGCTGGCGGACCCTTTCCCGGAAAGGGACGCGGGGAGGTATGTGGACGCGAGCTGAGAACAGAAGCAGCCTGAACTCTGGACCTAGCCCAGGAGAGGAGGCGAAAGTGGCAGTTTAGGGGACGTGGGAGCTTCTCGTTGCTACGGGAGATGGGCGAAGCTGAGCGATCACCTATACGAGCACTGTGGAGAAGGCAGGGAGTTGGTCCTCGGTCCCATTTTGGGGGAGGGGGGGCGGGGGGGACATGAAAAAGAGCGACTACTTCAGAGAACAAAGATGTAGGTGTGAAGGAGGGCTCTCAGACTGTTGCCTCTTCCACTGATCTTCCACGACCTGTGACAGACTCCCGCCGGACAATATCAGCTCCATTGTCTTGAAGGACTAGGTGGGGGCATGGTACCCACTGGAGGCTCTTCATTCATGGCAGCTTCCCCCCCCCCCCCCCAGTCTCCAGTCTCCGCCCAATCTTCCCTGGCTGAGTAAAGCCAATTAATTAGGTCGGTGGAAGTACTGGGTTTAATTGGTACCTTATACGCCCGCCCCTGAAAGGTAATGGAGATGATTTTCATCAAGTTCTCTTAGCATTTCTGCCATTTATTGAAAAACCGTAGCTACTGACTCGTGGCTCAGATCTCTGTTTGGGGGGACTGAGCCAAATACATTTAAATTGTATGTGAATTGTTTGCCACCTGGAAGAATCATAGACATTGGAGGAGTAAGGACTGTTTTGCTAATCAGGGCCAAGGAAAACTTAGCTACTTTGAATGGGCCAGGAGTCAGTGGGCAGGAGAGGCAGCAGGGACAGGCGGTCTTTATCCTCCCAAGTGCAACAGCCCCTGAAGTGCTCACCCTCTTTGAGCTGTGGCTTTCTTTGAGGAGCTCATGAAGTGTCTGGGATCTCTGTTCAGGTGAAGGTTAAAATGTCTCGCATGTATTTGCGATGGGTTCCGGGGGGTACTTAGGAAGCCCCTGTAGTCTTATCCATGCATCTCCTAGTGATTTTCACTTAGAATCAAGAGACAGAACAAGGGACTCTTAAGTCATCCATGAGCTTCTGAAATCAAAGCCACAGGACTGGGGAGGGGGCAGCCACCTGGACCCTCATGCTTCCTCTTTATGGGTTCACTGCATAGCTGTCAAAATACATTAAATTTTACTCTTGATATTGTTAAAGGCTTTGAAGGTAATTCGTCATCCTTGGGTTAAGGGTCCTCCAAAACGCGTCTATTTGCATGAAGTTGTTTAGCTTATAAAAATTATGCAAGCCTATGTGACGTATACTTAGCATTAACAGCTATGGTCCCTTATCACACATAATCAAGTTGTGTGAGCATATGAGGTTGATATTATATGGACTTTTTGGAAACCAGATTATATGGCATTGCTTAAGAAAGTCTTAATATGCAGTGTGATATTTACTAAAGGGAAAATAAGTTTAACCAATAAAATGTCATCTAGAAGGCATGATGCTATGGTTGAGCTTATCTGTGTCCTATGCGAACTGGGGGGGAGTGAAATGATTTGTTTAGTACACACTAAAATAGCTGGACGATTTTGTTTTGCTTGTGCAATTAATACTTTAAAGATTTTTTTTCTCTGCTTTGAGAATGCTTGAGGATACAAGCTTCAGTAGCTACTGTGGCAGGTGTTAATGTGATCTGTGGGTAGGTCAGTACTTGTGAAGATAAAGGGGAATGCCCAGTAAATATGAGCCCACTGAAGAACGTGGATGTTCTTGAAAGAGATTAAATAAAAATAGAAACATTTCCTACTCCCTAAGAAATCAGAAAATAAAATCTGTTGAGTAAAACCATAATATGTATAATGCACATAATATGTGTATCTATATGTATGTAGGTAACTTGCAAATCATTAAATGTGGTAAAACATTTATATAAGTGAGAAAAGATATTGTATTGGAACTCGGATATTTGAAAATGATACTTCTTTACATTTCAGCCTGTGGTTGGTTAGCTGAGCATTTCAAATGCTCAGTCAATATATCTGCCCTTTTGGGGTCTTATCACCAGGGCAAATCTGGGCCAATGGCAGCGCACGTTCATAGAATGAGAAAACATCAGGGTAGAAAGGAACTTGTAGAATGGTCTGCTCAAGCTCCCAGTACTACAGATGAAGAAAATGAGGCTCAGAGGACTTAGGTCATTTTTTCAAGATCACAGAGCTAGGTCTTGGCAAGGTCTTTGCTCTTTCTACCAAACAGGTGTGTCAGCTGTGTGGGTCTGAAACATCTCCTTCTGCCAACCCTTCTCCTGGCCACTCCTTTGTTCTATTCTTCTCTGTACTAAGCATAATACATTGTTCTGTAAGAGTCCCAGAGAGCAAAGAGTGAGCATATCAGGAGAATGGGAAAGATTAAAAATGCATATAAGTTACCCATGTAGGCTTTAAAAAAAGTTCAGGCATAAGAAAAGATGATTTTTGCTTGAAGTGCATTCAGGTGAGGAGGCAGTCATAGAAAGTAAAGTGTCTTTTACCCTTAGAAACTTAGAAACACCTGACCATTTCATAAGTTGCTTTTCCACCTGCGATCTCCCTTGATGATCACAACTGCTGGCAGGATGGGTGTGGTCATTCCACATTCCCTATTTCTGATCACCAAAAGCTGTTCCTTCTCCCTCTTATCAATGTCCCCAGGCAAAATTAGGTGCTTCTCTACAAGTGGGTGATAATCACATTGCATATTTACCACCCCAGTTCTGTTTTCAACTTCATATCCCCATCACCTGTCTGGGATTTAGCCCTGAGTAAGGATTCAGTTGATGCTTTTAGAATATATTGAGCTAATGAGTTAATTAAAATCAGGCATTTCTCCTCACCTGGCCTCTTTTAAGCATGGACTTCTTTTTCAACTGAAGTGCCAGTGATTTTGAAATGATAAAATGATGAAAATATTTTTTAACAGTTCTGTTGTGACATTTCCTGAGAAGGAGCAGTCATTCAAGTACACGGTAACTTGACTTAGAAAAGAGTGCATATCTCTAAGGCTAGAGCAGCTTGCTCCCCAGGCTGCTAACCCTATCCCCTGCAGGCGCTCATCAGGGTGGGTTTCCTCAGCTCACCCCTGACCTACAGAATGAGAAATGGGGGTGGGACAAAGGACCCTCCCTCTACCAGCCCTGAGTGAGTTTTGTAAGTACTACATTTGAGGACCACAGTTATCATTAAAGAACTCCCAGTTAGCCGCCTCCACCTAGCTAGAACTGCCTCTTCCCTGTCTTACATAGGAACCTGCAAAGATTGTCTGACCTTTTTTTAATTCTCCTGTTTGATTCCAACAATTAGGAAGACTTGACAATAAACCAGGTCTTTTGTTCTAAGGCAGTTTAGATTCACATTTATTTAGCTGTAATGAAAAGCATATATAAACAAAACGATGCTGTTTTTTCAAATGGAGTGTAAACTTTAAAGTGGCAGAATTGTATCAACTGATTTATTTTATATCCCACACAGGATTACAATACTTTGTATACAAGTGTGTTAAAGGAATTATTTTAAATGACCTAGGCTTTATCATTTCTGCAGTGTGCTTATTTCTTTGGATCTGGAAGAAGCTGGGAATAGGGGTCTGCGTTCACTCAACTTCATTCGAGTTCATTCCTCAGGCTTTGCGGTCCAGCATCTTCCTGTTCAGATGCTGCTGCTGAACTTGCTGTCCCACTCTTTTGCCCTCTCACGGAACGGCATTTGACAGCAGACATCTCACCTTTTAGCTGCTACTCGTTCCTTTATGTCTTCTCTGACTTTGCTTCTCTTGTCCACCTCTTCAGATTGGTTCTTCCAAGTTCTTTCCTTTGGCTTCTGCTGCTTCTGATTCCACATTGAACTAGGTTTCTCTTCCACTCTCTACATGCCTGTGGCTGAGCTCCAGACCTTCATTTCTAGTCCTGACTTTTTTTTTTTTGGTACTTTTAGACCTGTATCTGCCTGCAGGCCACCTTACCTGTGTGTTCCACGTTCAGTCTGATTTCATATCTCCAAACTGGAGTTCATAATCTCTGTTACTCCTGTTTTTTTCTTCCTGCCCCAGTGGTGGAAGCACCATCCACCGTCTTTTCATTTCCCTCTTCCACTTTCCATTTCCTGTCAGACATCAAGTCTTTACAATTTATCTTTTAAGTATTATTGAGATTAGTCTCCTCTATTCTGATCTTTTTATGACTGCCCTTGGTCAACTCTTCATCACCCCCTGCCAGGAATAGGGGATCAGTTCCTAATTCATCTTCCTGCTCTACTCCTCCCCTCATACCCACTCTTACGGGAGCCAGAGTAATTTCTCTTAAACACAAGTTTGGCCATGAGACTTCTTGTGGAAAAGACTTGAGTGATTTCCTGTCACCCATGGCATGCAGTGCAGGCTTCTCTGCACACCCTCAGTTGTCCTTCTTGGCCTCTTCCTGGAGCCTCCTCTCAGCTCTCCTGACCTACATCTTCTGCCTTGGACAACACTAAGTTGCTTGCAGGTCTCCAACGGAACTTAGCGCTTCTTAATCTGGAGACGTTATTCATGTTCCTGTGGGCTGGGCATGTGCTTTTTCTCACTTTGCTCAGCTGGAGTCAAAGGCAGACCATCTTTCTCCAAACACTCCTGCCTCATAGATGCCCCTCTTTGGACAGCTCCTTACTGCACAGACATCTTGTGCTTAATCCTTAGTGTTCCCTGGTCTGGTTTGAATGTCCAACTTTTCCCTGTGTTGTAATTACCACTTCCTTATTCATCTCTGTGTGAGCGTCTAGAGTGGGTAAATGTTATATGAATGGGTATAAGCATTGCACAGG